AGATAAGCGGGAGCAGCCATCCATAAGGTGACACTGGCTCTCTCACACCTCTCCTGCTGGTGGTGATGGCGGCTTGTCTTGTTCCCCACCTCCCCGAGCTGAGTAATGTGTACTGGGTAATAACTGTCTGTACACGTCTTATGTCTGGTCAAGGCTTTTGCTGTCAACAAGGTCAATATTTGTGTTATCATTGTGGCAGCGAGATTCTCATTGTTGTTCTTGTGTCAATGTTTGTCGGCAGGAGTCGCGTGTGTTCAGGAGTATGTGTTGTGTAAAGACTCCTCCGTCGGGTGGTGCCTTCAGGAGTCTTGGGGGGGGGGGGGTGTCATAGTTCGTGTCTCCTGGCTCTTCTCTCACTACTTGTTACCTAAGAGAGAGAGAGATGGACAGAGAGAGACAGACAGACAAGCATAGAGAGAGACAGGCAGACAGAAAGTGTGTGTGTGTGTGTGCCGTAGTCTGAAAACATCAACATTGGGTGGGTCTTGTTTTTTTACATCTATTAATATTGTCTTTCACTTTTATGTTACTCTATAAATATTTGTTTGTGTGTATTAACTCTGGCCTTTAAGGTGTTATTGTTGAGTTGGGTGTTTGATGGTGGTGGTTGTGGTGTTGGTGATGATGGTGGTGGTGTTGGTGATGATGGTAGTAGTGGTGTTGGTGATGGTGGGAGGGAGCAGTTATGAGGTGGTCATCTGTGGACGCTCCTCGCCTCATTGACCACTAAGCTAACGAGGCGACCTTTCCCCGCCTCCTGATACCACCTTCTGCCACCACCTCCTGATACCACCTCTGACACCATCTTCTGTGACACCATCCTCCTGTGACACCATCTCCTGCCACCATCCCCTCTGACACCACCTCTTATGTAACACCAATGTTTAGAGTGTGTGACGCAGGTGTAGAGGGTGTGACGCAGGTGTAGAGGGTGTGACGCAGGTGTAGAGGATGTGACGCAGGTGTAGATGAGGTGACGCAGGTGTAGGGGGATGTAACTCAGGTGTAGAAGGTGTGACGGTGTTAAGAGAAGATTGAGAGGTGAGGTAAGGTTTCGTCACGCTGGTCTGGCCAAGTGTGACAGCCGGGTCTCCCCTCCCCCTTACCCCTTTCCCCTCTCCCATCACCCCTCTCCCATCACCCTCTTCCACACCCTTCACCCCTCTCCCATCACCCCTCACCCCTCATGTTGTTGTTGTTTGTGATTGGAGGGACACTTAAGGCTGGTGTCACTTACGTCACCCTGAGAGAGAGAGCCCCTACACCACCACCACCACACTTCACCTTCAGGCAGGTCGTCACGGAGACAAAGTATCTGCAGGATGGCGCCGCCCTCGTGAGTTACTTTCCCTGCCTCCTCGTTTCTTTCACCGGCCGGAGGTTTTTCTGAGTATCGGGTCGTCTTCTTCAGGGTCGTCTTCTTCAGGGTCGTCTCCTTCAGGGTCGTCTCCTTCAGGGTCGTCTTCTTCAGGGTCGTCTCCTTCAGGGTCGTCTCCTTCAGGGTCGTCTTCGTCGTCTGGTTCACAAGTTTCCAGCATTCATGTCCTAGTACTAGGTCCATCAGGGTCTCCTACCCCTCCTCTTCCTCCTCTTCCTTCCTCTTCTTCCTCCCCTCTCGTCACCACCTCCTCCTTCTCGTCCTGCTTCCCCAGAGTGAATGCTGGGTGGTGAAGGGTGATGATGGGTAGTGATGAAGGGTGATGATTGGTGGGTGATGATGGGTGGTAATGGGTGACGATACAGTGAACGTCCGTCTGGTGGTAGGGGAGAGAGAGTTGACCCCTGCAGTGAAGGTGACCCCCCCCAGGGAGTACCAAGCCCCTGGTCGTTGTAAGGCTCCACAAAGTCGTCTCAGAGGCTTTTACTAGATGAACCGTCGTCACCTTCCTCCACTCCACTGATTACTGCCTTCTCTCTGTACTGGGGCCTGTCTCTCTATCTGTACTGGGGGCTCTCTATACTGGGGGGCACTGTCTCTCTATCCCTCCCATCTACCTCCACCCCTACCTCACACCCCACCTACCTCCACCCCACCTCCCTCACAGGAACCTTCACACCCCAGACCAACCTCCACACCCCACCCCACCTCCACACCCCACCCCCACCCCTACACTCCACACCCCACACACCCCACCCCACACCCCACCCCCACACCCCACACACGACAGTTGGTAAATAAACAAAAAAGATGATGTGACGTCATAGAGAAAATGTTGAATTAATAATAGACACTAATGAAAGAACTGCTGGGGCGGTAACTCTCTCAGCTGGGGCGGTAACTCTCTCAGCTGGGGCGGTAACTCTCTCAGCTGGGGGTAACTCTCTCAGCTGGGGCGTAACTCTCTCAGCTGGGGCGTGTAACTCTCTCAGCTGGGGCGGTAACTCTCTCAGCTGGGGACGGTAACTCTCTCAGCTGGGGTGTAACTCTCTCAGCTGGGGCGGTAACTCTCTCAGCTGGGGACTGTAACTCTCTCAGCTGGAGCGGTAACTCTCAGCTGGGGACGTGCTCTCTCAGCTGTGGACCGTAACTCTCTCAGCTTCACGTACGTACCTTCACAACATTTTTAATCAACATTAAAAAAAATATTTACAGGGATTAAGGATGTAAGGGGAGGTACCAAGCCGCCATGTTGTGTGTGTGTGTGTGTGTGTGTGTGTGTGTGTGTGTGTTCTGGCACTACCTCTACCTGGTGAGATACAGAACCTGACGCCTGACCTGACCCATCACTGCCTGGTAACCTCACACAGCCATCGCGTCCATCTACAAGTGGCTCTTAAAACTTTTATCACCGTGATCCTGAACGAGAGAGAGAGTATATTTAATGTTGAGTCATAATTAAAGTATAGGGTTGTAGTACTCTAGTCACTCCATCTATGAGAATAGTGTGTAGGTCAGTGGGTGGGGTGTGGGGTGTGGGGTTGTGGGGGTGGCTAGTGGGGGTGGTGGGGGTGAGGGGTTAGTAGGAAGGAGGTCCACCATTAAAAGTTTTGGGTCGTCGATCTCAAGGAAACGTACATACTGGTTCCTAGACACACACACACACTCACACACACACACACACACACACACACACACACACACACACTCACACACACACTCACACACACACACACACACACACTCACACACACACACATTATTGAGTGTAAACAGAGCTTCACTGTCCCCTCAGCCCTCATATATATATTTACCATCGACTGATAAGATCTAAGTAGTGTAGACGGTGGCTCAAGTAACGGGTTATTTTACTGTGGTGGTGTGGTGGTGGTTGTGTTGGTGGTTGTTGTGGTTGTGGTGGTGGTTGTTCGTGGTGGTGGTTGTGTTGTGGTGGTTGTGTTGTGGTGGTGGTTGTGTTGTGGTCGTGGTTGTGTTGTGGTCGTGGTTGTGTTGGTGGTGGTTGTGTTGGTGGTGTTGGTTGTTTTGGTGGTGGTTGTGTTGTGGTGGTTGTGTTGTGGTGGTTGTGTTGGTGGTGGTTGTGTTGTGGTGGTGGTTGTGTTGTGGTGGTTGTGTTGTGGTGGTTGTGTTGTGGTGGTGTTGTGGTTGTGGTGGCGTTGTATTACAGGCGCAGGTCACATTTTAATACATATACGAATAAATAATTAACTAGATAAATAAATCAACATAAAGATGCCTGGGGCTGTCGTCTTTATGGGAAGGTTTACACTAAGGAGCCGAGAGACCAGATTGGCGGCACGATCTTGATGATATCTCAATAGTGGCGGTCGACCGGTGGGACCTTCTTCTTCTTCTTCTTCTTCTTCTTCTCCTTCTTCTTCTTCCACGCACTTTATCTAGGGATCTTTTCTGTGTGTGTGTTATCCTCAGGGCAGAGCATCAGCCTCACTCTGGCAGGTTTTGGCCTTAAGGTCAGGTGAGGTCAGGTTAGGTTACACTTGGAAGCTCTGCAATTTCAAGGTTCATTTAGTCTGAGTAAGATTTATAAAACCAGGACCGTTTAATAATAGTTATACCTGATATCTCTCTACCTCGCCCTCTCAGCCCCCATTCCCCCTCCGCCCCCCTCCGCCCTCTTCCATCTTCTTACGTTTACTTCTCCCCTCATCTCCTCCTCCACCCACCCCACCTCACCCCACCCACCACCATCCACCCTCCACCCACCACCACCCACCACCACCCTCACCCTCACCCCCACCTCCCACCTCCCACCTACCTCCACCCACTCTCACCCACCCTCCCTCTTACCCTCCACCCACCCACCACCCTACCCTCTTAGGAAAATATTAGGACTCTAAACAAAATGAAAGAATATCACAAAAAGTTTCTTCTCTCGGCTATAAAACCTTAACAGCCGCCGATGGTTTTATTGGTGTTGGAGAGAGACAGGTTGTGTTGGAGGACAGGTGGTTTCAGTGAGTGTTGGAGATGATGGTGATGTGGTGGTGATGTGGTGGAGAAAGTTAATAAGTTGTTAAGAGTGGGTGTGGGGTGGTGTTTGTGTGGTGTGTGTGTGTGTGTGTGTGTGTGTGTGTGTGTGTGTGTGTGTGTGTGTGTGTGTGTGTGTGTGTGTGTGTGTGTGTGTAATTTCATCGTATAATTAATCATTGGATATAATAAACGTATAATTTAATACTTGTTTTTATAAAGAGACAAAAGTGACGTAATGTTCTCTTAACATTTTATTTTGATGGAATAGAATAAATAAGTTGACAGGATGTGTTTTAATTAGCGCCAGGTAAGATGTTGTTTTAATTAGCGCCAGGTAAGATGTTGTTTTAATTAGCGCCAGGTAAGATGTTGTTTTAATTAGCGCCAGGTAAGATGTTGTTTTAATTAGCGCGGGTAAGATGTTGTTTCAATTAGCGCCAGGTAAGATGTTGTTTTAATTAGCGCCAGGTAAGATGTTGTTTTAATTAGCGCCAGGTAAGATGTTGTTTTAATTAGCGCCAGGTAAGATGTTGTTTTAATTAGCACCACGTAAGTATATTCCCCCGTGTAGTAAATAGCGATGGTAGGTAGGGGTGATGTCAATTGCGTTACTATGGCGACAGGTGTAATCGCTCACGGCCAGGTAATGATTAGCGTCAATCCATCAGTGTTGTGGCAGTCAGCACCTCATGTGATGATCATAACAGAGTGAGTAGTTATCGGGGGGGGCACAGTTTGGTAATTACAACCCGTGAACACCTGTAAAGACTCCCGGCACACCTGTGGGTTTGATTCATTAGCATTTTGACTGCGGTGGTGAGGTAACCGTCGGGGGTGTGGACAGTAAATGCTCACTAAGACGGGACTGTAACTAGATTCCATTACATAATTGGTACACTGTAAGAAGGTTCTGTAATAGTGGCTGTATGTTATGGTCCCTTAGTCTGGCCTTGGTGATGCTGTAACCCTAACCTATACCTGCTGTACTGTGTGAGGTGTGTGCATATATTAACCTTGTCACCTGATACCCTAGTACTGGGGTGTATCCTGTGTGTGTGTGTGTGTGTGTGTGTGTGTGTGTGTGTGTGTGTGTGTGTGTGTGTGTGTGTGTGTGTGTGTGTGTGTGTGTGTGTGTGTGTGTGTGTGTGTGTGTGTGTGTGTGTGTGTGTGTGTGTGTGTGTGTGTTGTGTTGATTCTTAATTTCCCTTTATTTGTAGTTATTTTTATTTAACCTTTTTAACTCCTATTTTTTTTTTGGGGGTGGTGTTGCTTGTCTGTCTGTCTGTCACTGTCAGTCAGTCTGTCAGCACTTAACTCCATAGCTGATGACAAGTATAACCTTCATCTAAAATTCCTGACTTTTGTGTTGTATTACTGTGGCTGACGACTGTTCTTATCTACGTCATCGGGTCATCACTTTTACACCTGGTACCTGTCGTCATACCTGGTACCTGTCGTACACCTGTTACCTATCGTCACACCTGTTACCTGTCGCCACACCTAGTACCTGTCGTCCACCTGTTACCTATCGTCACACCTGGTACCTGTCGTCACACCTAGTACTTGTCGCCAACCTAGTACCTGTCGTCACACCTGTTACCTATCGTCACACCGTTACTCTGTCGCCACACCTAGTACCTGTCGTCACACCTGTTACCTATCGTCACACCTGTTACCTGTCGCCACACCTAGTACCTGTCGTCACACCTGTTACCTATCGTCACACCTGGTCCCAGCTTTTGTGATCATCTGAGAATTCCCTTCTTCTTAAATTCTAAGTCAATATGGCGAGCGATACTTCCCTCCCTCCCTCCCTCCCTCCTCCTCCCTCCCTCCCTCCTCCTCCCTCTTGACGCCAGCGGATCCTAGAAAAAAAATACTTCTGGCACCAAATGGATCATCTAGAATATATACGAAGGTCATAAGGTAGAGCAGTTTGTGGATGGCCACACACACACACGACAGGTGAGGGGGTGGTGTAACGTGTATAGTGTTGACGGCTCATTACTCACCTGTCCCCTCACCTGTGTGTAGTGTTCATCATTAGGTAAACATGTCCAAACTCCTCAACACTCATCTTCAAAACCCTCTAACTCCAGCCAATTTTTTTTAACACTCTGACATTAGATCATTGGTGAGCACCCGAGGCTGACTCCACTCCCTCCCTCCTCCTCCCTCTCCCTCCCTCACCTCACCTCCCCTCCCTCCTCCCTCCTCCTACTCCCTCCCTCACTCCCTCTCTCCCTCTCTCCCTCACTCCCTCCCTCACTCACCAAGTCTTGATGACGCCGCCTCTTAAACCAGTTGTGTTGTGTTTGTTTTTGTCACGTAGTTATTGACGCGGGTGGCAAGTTAGGTCAGGTTAGGTCAGGTTAGGTTAATGACTCCTGTTTTGGACGTGTATTTTACAGTTATGTTAATATCGGGTTTAATAAGTTACTTCTGTCTCGTGTTAGTATGGTCATAAGTGTTGATGCGAGCCACGTGTGTTAGTGGCTCTGTCTGTGTCTGTCTGTCTGTCTGTCTGTCTGTGCCTGTCTGTCTGTCTGTCTGTTACCCCAGCACACACACACACACACACCCCGTAAAGACTTCACCGTCATGTAAATTAAGAGAAGGTGAACGACCTGCCAATTACCACACATGATTACCAGGACGGTGATGTATGTTGTCATGACCAGCAGGTTCCTCGACACAGAAGGAGACGCTGTAGGAGGAGGAGGATGAGCGACACAGATAGATTATACTGTAGTGACTCGGTGTGTGTGTGTGTGTGTGTGTGTGTGTGTGTGGAGGTGAGAGGAGGCGGCCATATAGGGAAAGTTGGGTGGCGACTAACCAAGACACTGGACCACATCAACACACTCAAACACACACACAGACAAGGTGGGTCAGTGCCATATTTGGTGGAGTGGTGGAGCTGGCTAGTGCCCCGGTGTGTCCATGGTCCCTCCCTCCCTCCCTCCCTCGTTTGTATGGAGTGGAAATAGAGTTAATTCGTGTGAAACAAAATATACATGTTATATTTTTTTTTCTGTGGTCGTTATTGTGTTTTGTCAGCAAATTGCATCGGTTTGTTAAAGTTGAGTGGAATATGATAGTCCTACTACAGCTGACTACACACACACACACACACACACACACATTCCACACACACACACACACACACACACTCACGCACACACACACACACACACACACACACACACACACACACACACACACACACAGTGGGTGTATATATCGGTTTTGTCACCATACTATACTGTTACACCACAGAACACAACGCACTCCACTGTACCAGTATACCACCCTCCTATACCACCCCACCACACCCCTACACCACACCACACCACACCCAAACAACCTCATCACCATAAACTCCGCCTTTATTTAACAACATCACATCATAATTTATTTTTTACATCAATAACGACGGTGTAGCACTATGATGCCCCGTCCTCCTGCAGTTACCTGAAATATATATAAATACCACTAATACACTAATTCAACAGAGGGAGATAAAAATACAGTTCTTATGTGAATCCTGTTAGTGTAATCGCTCCCGAGAGGCTTAACACACACCCCAGCACTTAACTTGTGGTGCTGGCTCTGGGGATGCTCATTTGTGTGTGTGTGTGTGTGTGCGTGTGTGTGTGTGCTGTCACTTAGTATTGTCACACACGCGCACTGTGAGGACAAAATTGTGGTGTAATATGAGGTATGAGGCGTGAGGTGTGATGTATGAGGTGTGAGGTGTGAGGTATGCGGTGTGATGTATGAGGTGTGAGGTGCCCCACTAGCGCTACAGGTCTCTGCTCGCTCACCCAACTCAATACTCGTGTAAGCTACGTGTGCTGGGTGTCAAGAAAGGTTTACTCTTTGATATATAAACAGTAAAACTCTCTGGCTGTTGTGTTGTAAATAAAACCAGAGCGTCACATCTTATACAGTATTCAGCAACAGTTGTAGGTGTCATAACTACCGTGTCATAACTACCGTGTCATAACCACCGTGTTACAACTCGCTGGCTGCCACACACCCGTCATTACCTATCATAAACATGTACTGTACACGTGGCAGTGTGGTGACCAGGATATAAGCATCACGCACACGAATCCCATAACAGGTGTCAATATTTCCTTCAGGTTATTGAGACGTAAATGTTACATGGTTTAGTGTGTGTGTGTGTGCGTGCCAGTAGTCAGGTAAACATGGGGGGGGGGGCAAGATAAAGTAGGAGAATCAGGACTTGACTGTCAGCGTTATGTCAGCTCTTTGGTTATCCTGTTACATCACTCCTCCTCCCTCCTTCTTCTCCTCCTCGTCTTCCTACTTGTGTCATCTTCTTCCTTCCTCCTTTCATCCTTCCGGCCGAGGGAGTCAGTTTAATCCTTGTGTTCGTCTCAGTCATCAGTTAGTTTTTTTTTTTTTTACCTGAGTAAGTCTGACGAAGGTGTGAGAGTTGGTCCATGGTGAAGAGCTACCTGCCGGGTGAGGGGAGACAGTTACGTGGGGGGAGTGAGTGAGGGGAGACACAGATGCTCCCCTCCACCTCCCACAATAATAACAAACTATCAATGTTGATGTGTGAGTATAGGGGCGTGGGGGAGGGAGGTGGGAGGAGGGTGGCGTCAATAGTTTAGTAAACCTTCACCATCACCTCCCCATCACCAGCCCGCCACCACCACTTTACCTTCAGGAGCGCGTCACCTTCAGGAGCGGGTTACTATCACATCACCATCACACCATCACCAGGACGTCACTTCACCTTCAGGAGCGGGTTACTATCACATCACCATCATCACATCATCACCAGGATGTCACTTCACCTTCAGGAGCGGGTTACTATCACATCACCATCATCACATCATCACCAGGACGTCACTTCACCTTGAGGAGCGCGTTACTATCACATCACCATCACACCATCACCAGGACGTCAACCACCTTCAGGAGCGGGTTACTGGTCAGGAGGACGTGGTCACGCTGGCCGTCTCTGTCTCGGCACAAGTTATTACGGTCCTTAAATGTTCTGATGACCATTACATCCAGCGGTGAGCCACGCCACATGTCCCCACTCAACACTAACGACAGGAGGGCGTGGGGCGAGGGAGGCGGTGAGGACTGGTGAATAAATGTTTTTGTTTACTTTGTCTATATATCTGAGGCCATACAGGTTCTACCCTCCTCCGCCCCCTCCTCCCCCTCACCCTCCCTCACCCTCCCCACCCCTCCCCGCCCCTCCCCTCACCCTCCCCCTCCCGCCTCCCTCACCCTCACCCTCCCTCCACCGCCTCCTCACCTCCTGCTGCCCCTCCTGCCCCCTCACCCTTCCCTGCTGCCCCCTCACCCTCCCGCCACCCTCCAAGTGTGTCAGTAGATGAAGAGGGTAAGGAAGTGTAGTATCTTAGGCGGTGTTATACTAGGTGGTAGTAGTTGTGGTGGCAATGGTGGTGGTAGTGATTGTAGTGATGGTGATTGTAGTGGTGATGGTGGTAATAGTGATGATAGTGTCCCTCGCCCGTGATAGCATACTGACTGTGTTGGCTCATTAGTATGTAAATGTTGTAAGAGAGTAAGTGGAGGAGGCGCCAGGAACGTGTCAGACGGCAGGAGCGAGGCGCCCTTAACGCCCCTGGCAGGAGTGTCGCGCCCATGTAACACTGATTAAACGACGCCACGAGGTATTTATGGCTCACCTCTTAACTCCGCTGGAATTAACTAACTCCCATAAGCTTGATAATACCAGACTAACACCATTAACGAGACCTGGGAGAGATCGGGACGAGACCTACACGAGACTAACACCAACTATCTGAGTGTAGACGAGACCGGAACGAGACCTACTTGAGATCGGGACGAGACCTAAGCGAGACCTACACGAGACTAACACCAACTATCTCAGCGTGAACGGGACAGGGACGAGACCTGCACGAGACCTGACCTATCGTAAACTATCCCTCGCGAGACATATAAACTTGATTGTATATTTACTTAAATGGATCATCTGTAGATTAGACCCCAGCTTATTTCACCGTAAGATTAACCTAACCTAACCTAACCTAACCTAACCTGGATGATGGATGAGGCTAATCTTCATTTGATGATCTACCTGGGTGATGTGGATGCCTGGGTGGATGAGTGGTGTGGATGGAAGGGTGGTGTGGTGTGGATGGATGGATGGGTTGGTGGTGTGGATGGGTGTGGGTGTGGTGGGGGGTATGTGTGTTGAGGTGAGTGGTGTACCCTCTTGTGTATGCCCTGTCATGCCTCTCTCTCTCTCTCTCTCTCTCTCTCTCTCTCTCTCTCTCTCTCTCTCTCTCTCTCTCTCTCTCTCTCTCTCTCTCAGTAATACATCGACACTCAATGTTTATTTACACTGTGTCGTGCAAGGCTGATGTAATGTTTGTGTTTATATGTGTGTGAGTGTGTCCGGGGCTAGAGGGAATGTACAGTAGTATTATTCTTTGTCTGTCTCTCTGTCTGTCTCTGTCTGTCTGTCTGTCTCTCTGTCTATCTGTCTGTCTGTCTGTTCGGAAAAGTTTGTTCATTAAGGTATGTGGTACACCTATTGACTGGGTTAAGAAGGTTAAAGTTCAATATTTTTATTCATTGTTCAAACTCTTACATCATCATCATCATCACTACAACACCTTAAAGTCTCAGTGACACAGATTAAGGTCACAGGTTGAGGTCAAAGGTCATGACCCTGTATTGACCTATAACTTTTGTATCCGTGTGAATGTTTGGATGGAATTTTGAGATGAATATTTACCATCACTAGACACAGCCGGGGAACACACACACACACACACACACACACACACACACACACACACACACACACACACACACACACACACACACACACACTAATAAATACTCTCCATTGACCTCAAAAGGGAATTATTATATAGCATTTATTATCATCTGTATTTTAACGTTAAGTCTCAGGGTGTGTAGTGGCTGAGTGGTTAGGTCAGGTCAGGTCAGGTCAGGTTAGGTTAGGTTAGGTTAGGTTAGGGATATGAACGCTGTTGAGTGCAGTGTTGGCCAGAGAGTTACTGGTAGTATGGGTCTCGGGTATATGAAAGGTCAGGATTGGGTGGCTGGATGGGGGTGGGTCGGGGAGGGGCAGGTGGGTCTGGTGGTTCGGGGTGGGGCTGGTGAGTCGGGGTGGGGTAGGAGGTGTCGGAGTGGGGTAGGAGGTGTCGGGTGTGGTGGGTCCGGGTGGGGCAGGTGGTTCGGGGTGGGGTAGGAGGATCGGGGTGGGGCTTGTGGGGCAGGGTGGGTCAGGCCTCCAAATCCCATCCCGTGAATAACCCATTATTAAGGAAATAGAGTGGCAATATATGTGGCCGCTCCTGCTGTAATGGTGCTAATGGGGTTTAATTAAGCGTCCACCAGCACAGGGTAAGGGTGGGGGTTGCTGGGGTGAGGGGGTGCTGGGGGTGCGGGGGGTGCTGGGGTGAGGGGGTCGTCAAGGGGGTTGTTATTCCCGGTAGTAAGTTGGGGAAGGGAGGAGAGAGGGTGGGATGGAGGTAACAGAAGTAGTGGTCCCAAGGGTTGAGGAGGGAGAGGAGGGAGGAGATTATAATCCTCCCAGATGATCTCTTGGTAACTTTGTTAATGATAGTTACTCCCACAGGTGAGGCAGCAGTAGAGGGGCGGGGAGGGGGAGGGATAATTATTCCCCGTATCACTGTGGGAGGAGAGCAGCTGTTTAAGTGTTTATTTCCCCTCTATCCTCTTCCCCCCCTCCCTCCCCTCTTCCTCACCCCTCTTCCCATCGCCCACCCCCATCTTCCCTCCACCACCCCATCTTTCCACCCCTCTCCCTCACCCCTCTCCCTCTCCTCCTCCTCTCCCTCTCCCTCACCCCTCTCCTCTCCCACACACCCCTCTCCTCACCCCTCTCCCACCCCTCTCCCCACCCCTCTCCCACACCCCTCTCCCACACCCCTCTCTCCTCTGTAGTGTGATCAGGTCATGTCTGCCTACTACAGATAACACTGCAATCGATTTTTCCATTTCTTTACACATTTAGCAACTGGTGAATTCCTTAACTAACTGACTGGTCCGCTGAGAGGACTCCCATTGCCCCATCACCTCCATCACCCCCTCACCCCATCACCCCCTCACCTCCCATTGCCCCATCACCTCCCATCACCCCATCACCCCCCCTCACCTCCCATCATCTCCTCACCCCATCACCTCCCATCACCCCATCACCCCCATCACCCCCTCCTCCATCACCTCCCATCACCCCATCACCCCATCACCCCTCACCCCTCACCCCCATCACCCCATCACCCCATCACTCACCCCCATCACCCCATCACCCCATCACCCCATGGTTTACCGAGTGTAGCTTCAACCTTCCCTGGTGTCCATTAGCATATACTGTGTGTGTGTGTGTGTGTGTGTGTGTTGTGTGTGTGTGTGTGTGTGTGTGTGTGTGTGTGTGTGTGTGTGTGTCTGTGTGTGTGTGTGTGTGTGTGAGCTCTGTATATATTATCGTCGTCTTTCATTCACAGGTTAATTGTATATTCTGATTCACTAAGATGTATACATGTACTGATATACTTTCTAAACTTACACGTGTACGTATATTCCTACATGTACGTGGTCTAAAATTTGTTTGTTTGTTTTTGCAGGTTGGTGTTGTTGTTGTTGGTGATGCATGAGGGTTGGCGACCACAGCCCACCACACTGAACGTAGGTTGTATCGGGGTTAAGGTAATTGTTGACGGGATTTCAAATTTCTTGTGTTTATTTGTCTGGTTTAATCTATATTTACGTCTGTTTGTTTATATGTCTGGTTTAATCTATATATTTTCGTGTTTTATTCCTTGAGGGTTTTTTTAAACCACAACAAACGTACGAAAAAACAATTATATATATATTTTTCATAATTCACAAGAAACTTTAAACTTATTGTATATATATTTTGAAGTTCAATTCTTATGATGGTTTAAATAATAAAACTTATAAATACATGAATAAACTTTTGATTTTATTTATTTTATTTTTTACAACTAAAGTGAATTTTTTTTTACGATTGATTGGATAAGATTTGGTAACTGTAGAGGTGTGAGGCTCCTCCTCCCCTCTTCTCTCACTCACCTGTCGTTACCTTGTTACTATCAGCTATTAAGGTGATATTTAGTGTTATTACTGTACTTACTCAGAGTTATCTTAGAGAGTAAAGAAGAAATAACACCTGGGAATATTGTTGTTCTTATAATAATAATAATAATAATAATAATAATAATAATAATAATAATAATAATAATAATAACAATAATAGCAATAATAATAATAATAATAATAATAATAATAATAATAATAATAATAATAATAATAATAAGAGGAAGGTGTGTGTGTGTGTGTGTCACCTCCAGCTGGGACAAGCTTGTGGTGGCCAGAACGTGTTAAGAATGTCAGCTCGGGGCGTCAGAGGCCAGAAAATATGTCTCCTGGGAGGGGTGTCACCTGTGAGACACCTGGTTCAGTTTAGCCTCTCCTTAATTACTATTCCCAACACCTTTGTTTACCTGTCGAGTTAATGACACCTTTAGTACACATCCTGAATAAGAGGTTATACTAGTTACAACCATAGGTACACAACACCACTATACCACCCTGTCTCCTCACTGTCACCACCACAACAATCATCTATACCAAATTCTTCTGCCCTCACTGTCACCACTACAACACCACTGTACCACCCCTGCCTCCTCACTGTCACCACTACAACAATTCACCATACCACCCTGCCTCACTGTCACCACTACAACACCACTATACCACCCTGCCTCTCACTGTCACCATCACAACACACTGTGCCTCACTTCGCTCTCACTGTCACACCATCATAACACCACTATACTCACCCTGCCTCCTCACTGTCACTACTCACAACACCACTGTACCATTCTGTCTCACTGTCACCACTACAACATCACTATACCATTCTGCTCACTGTCACCACCACAACACCTCCACACTGTCATCACCACCACACCACCGATGGGGCCACACCCAGAAGGCTACACTGTGCCTTTTATCAGGGCCAGAAAGAAACAGTTTTAGTGTTGCCGAACTTCTTCCTCAACCTTAGAGCAGGTCTGATGGCCACAGTATACGGTGTGTTGACCCCGCCACAGCATACGGTGTGTTGACCCCGCCACAGTATACGGTGTGTTGACCCTGCCCCAGTATACGGTGTGTTGACCCTGCCCCAGTATACGGTGTGTTGACCCTGCCACAGTATACGGTGTGTCGACCCTGCCACAGTATACGGTGTGTTGACCCTGCCACAGTATACGGTGTGTTGACCCTGCCACAGTATACGGTGTGTCGACCCTGCCCCAGTATACGGTGTGTCGACCCTGCCACAGTATACGGTGTGTTGACCCTGCCCCAGTATACGGTGTGTCGACCCTGCCACAGTATACGGTGGCTGGGTGCTGTCATCTCTATCTGTCAGTTCCTTTGTGGTAATACACTCGCCACACTGTCAGATCCGTTTGTGATAGTGGCAAGTTAATTAATTGATATAATAAATTAGACATGTGATTCACGTTTTTTTTATGCTTTATATTAAAATGATCAAATTTATTTAGATATGAACCCGAGGCTGTTGGTGGTGTGTAGTGAAGATGTTGGTGTAATTTTAGTTGTGTTGTCCCTCTTTGTTACCCACAACATTGAGGAAAGGCAAAGTTGACAAAGTAAAAACACGTGAATATATAATCTAGGGGTTGAAATACGTGGATGCAGCAAGTAAGGAACACACACGCAAGAATCACTGTGAGAGACAAAGTTAAGTTTTGATAGAGATAAGAAGGTTATTAAGTCAACGGAGTCATTTATTAGCATTTATATTAAGTATTGATTAAGATAGTTGATTAGGAACATTAAATAACATCAAGTAAAACAAAACATGAAATTATCAAAATACCAGAATATTATCCAATTATACATTAAATACACGTTATATACAGAAACCTGATAGAATGTGGCAGCTCAGGTAACAAGTCTAGGTTGAGATGGCCAACTACAAGGAACCAGGGATTAACTCCGCAGTAGTCCCTTCGTCCACACCCCGGGAGAAGAGGAACACCGTAGGCCACCGAGAAGAGACTCAGCTTACCAGACACACACACACACTCACCTCGGTCTCACACAGTTGGATGGGAAACTGGTTCTGAATTGGTGCTCACTGGGGTCTAGCAGCGTCGTGAAGCAGTTTCTTCTCCTGGTGTCAAGTTGGAGCTGGTGATGGTGGTAAGAGTGAGTGATGGTGATGGTGGTAAGAGTGAGTGATGGTGATGGTGGTAGAGTGAGTGATGGTGATGGTGGTAGAGTGAGTGATGGTGGTAGATTTAGTGATGGTGGTAGAGTGAGTGATGGTGATGGTGGTAGAGTGAGTGACGGTGATGGTGGTAGAGTGAGTGATGGTGGTAGATTTAGTGATGGTGGTAGAGTGAGTGATGGTGATGGTGGTAGAGTGAGTGATGGTGATGGTGGTAGAGTGAGTGATGGTGGTAGATTTAGTGATGGTGGTAGAGTGAGTGATGGTGATGGTGGTAGAGTGAGTGACGGTGATGGTGGTAGAATCGAGTGATGGTGGTTGGTGGTAGAGTGAGTGATGGTGATGGTGGTAGAGGAGTGATGGTGATGGTGGTAGAGTGAGTGGGATGGTGATGGTGGTAGAGTGAGTGATGGTGGTAGAGGAGTGATGGTGATGGTGGTAGAGTGAGTGATGGTGATGGTGGTAGAGTGAGTGATGGGTGATAGAGTGAGGAGGGGACAGAGTCGTCACACACACACACACACACACACACACACACACACACACACACCTGAACCCTGATTGTTGTCGGGTGTTTGACTGTATATCCTTTTTAATGCCCTGTCCTAGAACACCTGTTGGGAGGGGGGGAGGCATGTGAACGTGGGTGTGCAGCATCATTCAAACCACCAGATGTGACGGGGGTTACGAGGGTTTCCAGCAGTGTTCCTCCTCCTCTGCCTTCTTTCTTTCTCTCTTCTTTCACCCACCTCTCACCTCCTCACCTCCCTCCACCTCCTCCACCTCCCTCACCTCTCTCCACCTCCCTCACCTCCTCCCACCTCCCTCCACCTCCCTCACCTCTCTCCACCTCCTCCACCTCCCTCACCTCTCTCCACCTCCTTCACCTCCTCCACCTCCTCCCCTCTCACTCGTCTTCCTCCTGACACAATACACGTACCAGACCGGACAAACTAGCAGCATATTTATCAACACTGGAGGCAATTATAACGAGTACACACACGCCTTCCTGTCAACACTTCCTGGCCTCAGATTAACAATAATTACAGTTGAGTTTATAATGTTTCAATTTTCACGTGCAGATAATTTCTTTTGTCCTAACTTCCACGCTGGCTGTAGTGCGGTGGTGAAACTTTATCGTCGGGAGAGTTTCAGAGAGTTTCACTTTCCATAACATCAGGTCAGAGTCTGGTGAAGATGTTGAGGTCACCTGCCTGGCTGTGTGGGAGGGGTCAGAGATGGTGGTAGGGGTCAGGGGTGGTGGGTAGAGGGGCCAGGGGTGGTGGGGTAGGGGGTCTGGGGTGGTGGTAGGGGGATCAGGGGTGGTAGGGGGGTCAGGTGGTGGTAGGGGTCAGGGGCAGGTAGGGGGGTCAGGGGTGGTGGCAGGGGTCAGGGGTGGTGGTGGTAGGGGCCAGGTGGTGAGGGTCAGGGGTGGTGGTAGGGGGTCAGGGGTGTGGTAGGTGGTCAGGGGTTGTGGTGGGGATCAAGGATGGTTGGCGTGAGAGGAATCAGTGGTGGTGGGGGTACCCTGACGTATTGCCCCCAGGATTGATGTGGCGAGGCGTCCACAGTGAGGAAAAGCCCCACACGACCTGGTGTTGCCTCTACACACAGCACGCGCGCCCTGGACCTGTGAGGCCAGCATAACTAACACCTGTGTACTGTAGAGGTAAACAACATATCGCCCAGACAAACAAAACAAAATGACAACAAACTGATCATCCACTGACTAACCATCCCCCTTCCCTCTTCACTCTCCCCCTCCCCCCTCCTCTCCTCCCCCTTCCCCCCTCCTCGTCAGAACTCGTATCAGCGTGGCACCTGGAGACACTTAACAATATCCGTGAGAGTTGACAAATACCTTCTCAGCACACCCCTCCCCCCCACCTCCTCACTCTCTCCCTCCCTCCTCCTCACCCTCTCCCCCTCTTCACCCCTCCTCCCACCCCTAACAGCTTGATTGCGTAGTAGCAGTGTGTGTGTGTGTGTGTGTGTTGAACAGGTGGAGTAATTATGTCATTACCTGGTTTACTGGGGTGCTCTTTGTCTCGCTTTTATACCTGTAATTATTTGATTGTCCAGGTGTTACTTTTTTATTATTAATTGTTACTTTACGTGTTACTTTTTTCCCTCGACAATGGCTCAAATCTTTACCTGGATTTACCTGACTTGGCTGACACCTCTAATGTCCAACTCCGCCTCACGCTTGTTACAATTCTGAACTTGTAACACATCTCTATGGTGACACAATACTGAGGGAAGGTGTGTGGTGGTGGTGATGAGTTAATGATCTTCAGGTGAGATTCTACCTATTTACAACCATCAACCTCACCTGTTGTGTTCAGTACAGTCTCTAACCTAACCTAACCACCAGGAAGTTTATTTTTAACATCTCTCTCCAGCCAAAGCATTACTTAAA